TGGGTAGAAAAGGTTAGAAATGAAGAGGTATTGGAAAGAATAGGAGAACAGAGGACTCTATGGAAGTCAATAAAAAATAGGCGAGATAGGTTGGTAGGACACCTTCTCAGGTATGAAGGTTTAGTCAGAGACATATTAGAGGCAGAAACAGGAGTTAGGAGGGGTAGAGGTAGACCTAGGTTAGATTACTGTTCGCAAACAGTTAAGGATGTGGGCTGTTCTAGTTTTAGGAAAATGCGAAGTTTAGCTCAGGGTAGGAAAGAGGGGAGGTGCGTGTCCAACCAGTCTTAGGACTGACGACCTTATGATGATGATGATGATTATTAAGTTATATGAAGTGAAACTTCTGTAACTATTAACGCAAGGATATTAACGTTTCACTTTGAATTTCTTAGTTCGTGAACGCTGTAGGTATATCGACCATTTCCCAGTGAAACATTAAAGAGGGTGTATACAGCGGCAAGGATAAACGATTGACGATAAAATTTAACAGAAAATGTAATACAACAATCTTGTATTGTACGCAAAGTACGTGTTACTGTAAATTTTTGGCCTTGACCTATTTTATGCATCGAGTAAAACCATAAAATTAAAATAAGGTCGTGTTGGGTGATAATATGAGCTGATACATACAGTGGGGTAAAAATCGCCAAAATCAAAAACAGCGTGAGAACGAGCAAAGCTAAATTGAAAGGGACCGTATTGATTTTACTTTATCAGATACTTGTAACTGTTCTGTTCATAATCGTTCTCTATATTTGTTATCGAAAATCTCTATTCTATTTTGGGAGTCAATATAATATAATAAATTAATGTCACTTGCAAATCTAATTTTTTGTTAAATTTATGAGTACTATTATTAGATGAATGCTATCTTTTCATTTAAAAATACATCCAAGACGATTTATTCATCATTACAGTTATTTTGCCTTTACTTTAGCTTTCGTCAATTAGTGGTGACTTGTGAGTCAATATAATCAATCAAAATACAATACATACCGTAGTTTCGTCTTCGTGCAAGACTTGATCATATTCAGACATAGCTACACAAAAAATAATTGCGGTAACGTCTTCGAAACAATGAATCCATTTTTTCCGTTCTGATCGCTGACCTCCAACATCAAACAATCTGTAAATAAATAATGGAAACGCTGTAGGTAGTTACGCAAAGTTATTTTTGGGAATAGCAAAGTAAATCAAAAAATCAAATATCAATTTGTTTTGATAATTATTTGAAAATGTAGGTTAATTTTCCTTTATTCATTTTCTTGGGGTTACATAGTGAAATCGAGCGTAGATATTCCAGTCTTTTCAAATGAAGTTTAACATTAGAAACAATTGCCTACTTTCTAACTATGGACTTGTTATGAAACAGATAATTAACGAAAAACGTTGGTTATTATTCAAAAATAAGTTGATGCCGTTGTTTCTCATTGTATAGGGTTGTTCGGAAAGTCATTTCGTTTTTTTTTGTGGAAATGAAAGACAGTTTTCGTATAATAAACAAATACTTTATTAAATTATATATTGACCGTTCTGNTCGTCGAAGTGTTTCTGATTATAAAGTTAAATTAAAGCCTGCTGAATTACACAATGTATTTAGAGACTACATATTTTTATACTTTGATAATAATTTGAGCTGTAAGAGAAATTAAATTTACTTTTCATTGTAATAAAGTAAGTTTTCAAACTGCTTTTAGTTGCCTTATAATGAGCGTGGAGGCATTCAGGTAGCTTTGTGAAATATTTGTCAATAAAACGTTGTTTTCATTATTAAGAAATGTAATTTTAACAGTACCCAAATTTTAAAAAGCCTTAGCACTTTAATTTCAATTCATTTTTTTTTTTAATGGCAATAATAGTGAGATAAGATACGTATGATGGGGTGTATTAAAATTACATTCTTAATATTGATGTTGTTGCGTAGTACGAAGAGGCACTACGTAAATATGTAGAAAAATATTTTAAAGAAGAAAACAAGTATAAAAATATATAAATGCAAATATACCTGAAGATAGCAGTTAGTCTTAACATGACAAAAGGGAATGTTTCAACAACTAAACGAAACACTAGTCGCGTTTTATTGTTTGTTATTTGTCTCTGAAATTGCTAGACCAATTATTACGGATAACTTACGTAAAATGTTAACAATAAACTAATTTTTTGATACATTATTAGGATTTGAAGCTCTGCCTATGTACATGATAATGTATAGTTTAATATAAAGTACATTATTTATTACCTACCTAAAGGTCCATTTTCTCCTGACTATGATTATAAAAAGGCAGAAACAATATTTACTTTCAGGAGGCTGCTCACGTTATTCTCTATTTTAGTCGAAAATTTCGCCGTTATAGGCATTGTACGTGACATTTTTGAGCTAATTGTAGATAAGTTTTCAATATTAAAATGTTATAATATAACAAAAATTTTTAAAAGTCGGCTATTAACAACTGCAACAGCCCAAAAAAGGACGTATTATATAGACAACATAAACAAATAAAAACTTAATAATACGTACACAAATATTAACTTATTTTTGACACATAAATAAATATAATTCGCCTAATAAATGTTGTGCAGAATATTGTGCGGATAATAAACTTTATATTTTATACTTAAGTATGTACATTGGCATGATCAAAAAATAAACCAGAAAATCTTACCTATTTATGTATTTATATGGTAACGGTACTTCCTAAGGTTGATCTAACTTTCTACTATAGTACTTTTAGAAATGGTCAGTTTCTGGTAAAACGTGTAACCTATAACATTCCATGCCTTTGAACTTCCACTTTACGTGCATGACTTCGCAAAACCATTCGCCAAATACAATCGAGAGTTTTTTTAACGAATACTAACTGATTTTAATCGTTAATGCAACAGCAATACATAAATTTATCAATTATTTTAAATATTTGAGGGCTTCATACCATAATTTTATATTAATAATGTTTCAAATGTCCAATCTCTTGTACGAATAACTAAACAGTAACGAAAACGACGCTAATATGGCGACAATAATGCTAACATGGCGACAATGACGCTAATATGGCGACAATGTATACGCTACCGCCATATTAGTGTCCATTGTGATTTTTTTTGTTTACTCAATACCCTGTGTACTAGATTAAATACGTATCTATGTATTTAATACATTTAACGACTGCACTTTCAAGGAAAAGCTGAAAAATGAAACTACAGAATTTTTTGTATTCGCGTCATCTCCATAATGTTTCTAAGGATAAAGGAAAACTTCTGTCATTATTCAAATTTATTGCACTAATGCGGTGCTCTTTTCGAGTCAATAAAATAAGCAAGAATAATTATGTAAACAAGTGCTTGAAATGGAAGTGAAGCCTACAAAGTAAACAAACAGGAAGAACAGAAAAACGAATATAATTGGAAAAACAACGTCATCCTTTCATCAGTTCGTGAACATTTCTCCGAAAATCAATACGGAAAAGTAATAAGAATGAACCATGCATTTGCTATGGTAATCGAATCTTTCGGAACTTTCATTGAAGCAAAATAACCTTTCTAAATAACAGTTAGGATTCCTAAAAAATCTACTTGACTAAACATATTTTCAAAAGTTGCATGTAAGACTAAAAAAAGGCAAAGAGACTTTGTACTAAAAATAATATTGACATTAAAGGTGAGGAATTGGATTAATTATTTATCAACAGAATGGTATTTGATGAAAAAAAGTTGTGTGACAGACGCAAAACAAGACAGGTTAGGTTGGGTTGGGTTACTTTTGAATAGAGCTGGTTTTACGCTTCTTAACACTTTAAAAAGATATTCAGGAGCGTTTAGACTAATCGTGAAGGAGTAAGAATGTGGAATCTGAGAGAAAATTTCGGTTTTCATTTATTAAGAGTCTTTACACACATTTGCCAACATTTGACTTTCTTAAATTGAGAAATTCTCCAATCTCCGGTCTCCTTTCCGTTAGGGTAATTCGAAAAATTTTAGTATGACCGTTAGAAATTAGTAAACTCTCCTCTTAAATCGAATATGTCAAAACTGGATTACGCCTAGAGTAGGACTCTCCTGTCCATCACAGACGCGAAAAGAAATATGTATAGGTGTTTCATTCCCACCAGCCAGTAATGCGGGTAAGCGGGCAGCCCCTCTGGACTACGCCAGAGCGTAGGGCGGAAGACCCTCTTCAACCTCCTTCCAGCAATGGTAGGAATGGGTGGTGATTCGAGGGAGAAAGATGAGACGGACGAAATGAATACAGAAGAGAATGAAAGATTATAGATTATATGTGGAGTATTACTGCCCCAGCATTTGCCTAATTGATCCAAGGAAACCACAGAAAACCTTGGACCCAGACAGATTGACCGGGAATCGAACCGGCGTCCTCCGGAATGCTAAGCAATGGTCTAAACCTCTAGACCATGCCGCTCACAGGGGCGAATGACGATGTATCTAAAAGGGTTAAGCGTAAGGGAAGAGGACACACGACCATTCGTTCGCTTAGTCTAAATGCACCTTTACTTATATGATTTTTAAAAGATTTTGGCGTAAGCCAACACATTGTGTCAGTTCATTGGCGTAGAAGTATCGATTGCGGTTTTACCAGTTTCCTCATTCGATCCCCGTTATTACCCTCACCGATATTCGATTAAAAAGGAACACAAGTGCCATTCGCTCAAAAAACAATAAAACTAGCACATAACAATTTCAACACTTTCAAGTAGGAGAGAACGTGTATTTGTTTTTAATGTGTAGTTAGATATACTTATGTAGGTGGATGCGCGCGTGGAAATGTGTAAGTGTTTATGTTTAAACGCCAGTGTACGTACGGACGAGGTGTTCGCATAAAAGTGTTTTGTGTTATCGAGAATATTAAGTCGTCATAAGAACTCACGTTATTATTATTTTATTATTTATTATTATTGTTGATCAGTGTAGAAGCGTTAACAACGGTGATGGTCATAAGGTCATTGAAAATGTTGGAATTTCGGCGTGAGCCTTTCCTTTTCCTTTTACAAATTAGTATAAGTATTTATATTAACACCCGAGATGTATTTTTCCGAACTGCTATAATTTATCGTTTGAATGTCCGATCCGACAGTCAGTAGGTACATTATTCGAAGGATGTAATAATATGTATAGTGTAAAAACCGTTCAGTACAGTCCACAGTTGCGCAAGTTGTTGGCTATTATGACATCCGTTACTGCGTCGAACACAAACTGTATGTTGTGCGTGTCGGTTGCACAGGTCATGTGACAGTAGATCTCTTTTGTCGTCGATTTGTTTTTCGCCTCGAATTGCGCCTGGATGTACGCCGCTGCTTCGCCGTACTCTTGAGCCCCTAAATTGCAAGTAGATTTTCTTTTACACTTTCTAATGTCTAGGAAATCGGGGTTTCCCCATTCAAAATTTCCAAGGAAACACCTAAATTCTATGAATCTTTGTTATCATTAAAATTGTAATGAATTATGTAGGTGGGTAAGACCTCAGGCAATAAACTTTTATTGTTCAGGAAAAAGTAGTGGTTAGTAAGTTAGATGACGATACATTGGAGTAAGTACTACACACTATATGTCTGTAACATCTGCAGACACATTAAAGTGTATCTCGTCATAGTGTGAACCCCAGTTAACGAGTCCTCAGTGATTCAGAACAGTTATCGCGTTATTATGTCGGCTTTCGACGAAACAAACGTACCTATTCGTGACCTTCGCAAACAGCTGATATGTAGACAAGTCAATTGTACGTAACGATTACTAATAATCTGCAGTCGTTAGTGTTCGATTGGCATAGTATTACCCCAAAATACCAAAACTACTTAAATGTGGAAATGTCAAGCAAAAACCAACGTATTCATATGCAGAATATGCGGACATGGTGGTCACATA